TGAGATGCAACAATCTTACCAGTTAACACTTACACTGCTTCAACTTACCACGCTTGGACAAAAAAAAAAGCAGACAAAAAGCACTCCAGCTATTGCATTAGACGCGGCAGCGAGGAACAGGTTTGCAGACATCCACACAAGGACGTCAACCCTCCAGGATGCCACGCTGTTAAATATCGAGGACCAGCACACCCACCCCCCCCCGTGTCGGAACCAGATCCCTGTTTGACGAAGTGCCTTCTCTAGTAGGTTTTAAATGACTCAAAATGCTCAGGGATAACCTCCGCGTCTGCCAGGAGCCTTCCAGAAGCGGAGCGACAGTTTGAAAATGGTTTTCATTTGTTCATTTTCACCCCGTTACTCCTAGATGCACAACCTCTGGCTATTTCAAGGCTCAGAAAGCTTCAGCAGCAGCTCGGTACAAACATCTGAAGAGTTCTTGTCCTCGACACTACTGCCCAGTTGCGAAAGTCAACGATTTTCTCTTCAATCCCTGCTCGGTTTCCCAATGGCAGAGCTCAAAGTAACGTTCCTGCATTCGGGTTAGAGGAAAATACTCCAGCATGACACAGGACATCGTTTCTCTTCTGGAGGGCTGGGGGAAGTGTTCCAGTTTCCATCCAGTTTCTCATCCACCATCTCGATTAACTACTGTTTGTTGGTTTTTTTGGCCATTGATGCTTTTCAATTATTCAAAGAGAAGCCCTACATTTTATACCTCTCCTGCCTGTGATTTTTCATAATTTGATGGAATAATTGCAATCCTCTCTCCATCCCTTCCCAATTTACCCCATCAATTAACACATTTCCTCAAGTGATTTTAATAATTCAGTCTTAGAGACAAAGTCTAATGTATCAAGTAGGAGCAAGATGCAAAATCCAAAGCCAAACTTAACCCAAAACTCAGCTCTTGCCTGCGCTCTGCCCAACAAACTTCAACTGGCTTAAAAGGCCGGCTCCTACACCGACCTGCTCCTGCTTTATTTTTCATATATATTTTCCAAAAGCCTTCCAAGTCACTGCAATTTACTTCCCCAACTATTTCATGGGCTGTCAATTTTTTTTTTCCCCTGCTATCTCCCAGTTTCTTTTGCCCGTTTGTCTTCCTGTGCAGTTCAAGCTGGCGCTCGCCTGCTGTCCCCCCCTCTTGCTGTGCACCCATCAGCACCACCACCAGCAGTTTTAAAGTTAACTTTAAACGTAACACACACACACACAAGAAATGGGAATTGCCAAGGCAAAATTTGCTGCAGCATGTGTCTGGAATTGCAGCCAACGATCCAAGTGGGCAGCAGGTCAGGAAAAAAAAAAAACCAACCACCTCTATAATTAAATGTCTTCATATTAGATTAACCAAAAAAAGTCATTAGAAATAAATGAATTAAGTAATTCTGCAACACAAGTTAAATGGCAGTCATGAGAGAAAGAAAAACTGCATTGCCCAAGCTGACTGAACAAGATAATTATTTTAACAAAGCCTTTTGCAAAATAAATTGCACGGAAGTTGAGAAACCTTCTGAAATGAAGTTTTTAAAAAAAATCATCTTTGGCTCCTTCAAGGAAGTGGAGGGGAAAAAAAAAAGAAAAAGGAGAGAGATGGTATTGTGTCCTTAACAGCAGTTTGAGAACCAGAACAAAGCCAGAGAGAGTTTCAAAGCGCAGCAGCTCTCCCCACTCTGCTGTTTGTTCTGCTCATAAGCAGACAAGCTGTTTCCTTTCATCTGGAAAAACTCACACAATAAGAAAAATACCTCAATAGAATCCGAGTCTGTAATAACAAAGCCCAAGGGGCAGCCAGAAAGAAATCTTTTGGCCAGTAAAAAATATTTGGTGTTCGGATCCTCAGAGAGACCTGACTGCTTCTGGGTGTAGGGCATACGTACATCCTACCGCTGCCAGAGGAGGTCAGGGGATTCATTGAGGCATTTCTTGTTCCCGTCTCTCCTCCCCACACCCAGATGAAGGCTGCAACCCTCGTAGGTCAGCACAAAAGCGAGCGGAGGAAGCAGGAGCGAGGAGATAACAGTGAGAAGGAAGCACATGAAAGACTGCACACAGGGATGAAACGTCTCTCTGTAACACCCTTAAGGAAGGGGAAGAGAAGGAATTAAAAGCAAAAGCGCAGGGTCCAACCTAAATTCTGAATCCAGACCTGCGGTAGCTATGCTGCAGTTCAGAAGACCCGGTAAAAATGTCTCTCTGAAATACTGTTTTGATAAATATGCCATCTCCTTGTGGAATTCAAGTCTCCAACTGTTCAACTGGCATGGACAACTCTGCAGTAACAACACATGCCACAGATTGTGAGTTAACTTGAATTACATTTCAGATCTGGGGAGGGGAGGATGTCAGTGGGAGGTTTATGAACAGTATGCTCTAGCTCTGATGTTGTTATAACCAGATGGCTTCAGCTGTATCATTTACAATAAAAAACAAACAAAAAAAAAAGCGAAGTTGACAAATAAATCATTAATTCACCTGCAACTGGAACAATCTGAACAAGTCGTCTCCTTCACGGATCTCATTTCAGAGCCTCCATGACAGTATATTCTGCAACTGCACCTGGCTCCGCAGGAAGGGCTGGGACAGACGAGCCCCAGAACAGATTATTTTCCTCCAGGTATCTCCCCATCCTCCGGGGAAGGAGGCTGCCAAATCTGTATCGCTTTCCTGTAAACACCTGCCCAAAAAAGGCCGAGGACAGGCAATGTGAACACCCATTTACTTTCTTCCAGGCTTGTCTGCTTCCCAGGGCAAGGCTGAGCCAGGGACGCTCCTCAAACAGTTGGTCACTCTAACATGACAAGGATAAAAGGTCTCGTTCAGGTTTGAGTATTTCAGTAAACAATGCAGTTACTGCAGCATAATTAGACATCGCTGTGCCACACAGACAACTTCTGCAATTACCTGGCAATGAACTTTTCATGTCTGTATGCAATTACAAGCTAGAAATGCTGGGTTTGAGTTCTGACAGGGTAGTGGGGAGAATCTCATTATGACTAAATGCTTTGCTTACCTAAAAGGAAACGCACGCTAAATCCAATATAAAAGGAATTAGTGGCGTTCGAGCAATAGATGTAATATGGGAATTTGTGAACCACATAAAAGGGAGGCTTTACTATACAGACGGTTGTGTGTTTATGATGAAAGCCTCGGTGGGGGAACACAAAAAGGGGCAGGGACCCTCTCATGAGTCACCATTTGATAAAAATAGACAGCAGCTAGATTAAACACATGAGCGTATGAACGGAATTCTCCTTCACGCAAGGGACAAGAGGCTGTGAGAGGAAGTATAACAGAATGAAAAATCAGAGACAACAGATACCTAATCTATTTTCTAGACAAAACAGAGTTATTCTCCATAATCCATTACGTGCCCTACCTGACCATCTTAAGGTCAGATCAATTTGCCACTGCCCCGGCACTGCGTATTTCAATCTAACCTCCCTGGAGATTTGGGGCTAATGATGACATAAATGGATGGTGTCTATCCTACCCAGACATCCTGTGTTGCACCTTAGCGTTATAAAACAGATGGCTCATTATACTGTTCTCCCTTCCCACATCTAAACAGGTACAGGTAAAAGGAAGGACCATGGGTCAGCTATTATTAAAACCAATGCTCCCTAATATTTTGGAAATACCTGCTATGAGAAATAACACAGGTTTGCATTGCAATTTTGTGTGCAACATTCCGTAATAAATCCCATCCGAGTTCCAGGAACAGCATGTCACTATCAGTATATGGCAGCAGACTGAAACTGAACCTTTTGGGAGCCGGTTTTAAACCGGGAAGTCTTAAAAACAGAAAAAAAAAAAAGACAACAGATACCACACAGTACAAAATAGTAATTATTTATATTTTCAAAAAGGAAAAAAAAAAAGTTACCAGCTATTTTGAAACTTCTTCCCTGTAAGAAGAGTGACTAATAGAAAGGAACAGGACTGGCTCCTATACAGTCGGCAAGTCAGGTACAAACAGTTGTTAAGAATCATTTAGCAACTCAGGACAGGGACTTTTGACGCAGCGTTCATGAACAATAAAATTTTTCCTTTTTTTTTTTTTTTTTTTTTTTTTAAAAAAAGGGGGAGGAGGGAAATAAAGCAGGGAAAAATGCCAAAAACATTTCCCACAATATCTAAAAACAGTAACCGTTGTTCTCGTCAGACAGCACGCTCCAGATCAAGGATTTTCTAGTCCTTTCAAAAACCAATACAGACTTGCCAAAGGCTGCCTTCAGTATCTTCACACCCTCCAGAACACACAGCCTTTCACTGTCCCCTTTCACTTCAACCTGTCATTTTATAAAAGGCGGGGTTTTTTTTCTTTTTTCTTTTTTTTTTTTTTTTTGCAATTAACATACAAGTGCTACTAACAGAGAAACTGATCTTCTTGTTGCTGGATGGCAATAAGGAGTTACACAAACGTCCAGTTTTTAGCTCAGCTGGAAGGACTTAAATTCTTTTTTTTTTTTTTTTTTTATAAAAAAAATTATGGGGCTCCCCACTACTACTGGAGCTCCCATCAGGTACTTCCTTTCCAGAACCTCACTGGAAATTCTTTTTAACCCTCCAACGCTCTCCAAAGCTAAAATGTCCTCTTGCTCCAGGCATCTGACGATTTGTTCTGTGCTGCCAGACGCAGAGACGTTGTTTTCCCCAGTACCACTGCTGGGTTATTCCGACTTGGGTCGGTGCCTAAACCGAACCCTGTACTTAATTGACTCAGCCAAGTCGAAGGGAACACACAGACGATGCAGCGACTGGGATTCATTAGGTTGAACAGCCCCAGAGCCCCAGGCCCACCCTCCCCCCTCTCCCCAAGTTACTTGGTGCTGTTTTAAAAAGTCTGGGTGTCACGAAGCAGTCTCTTCCCCCCAACAACAGAGTAAAAGCTCCACAGATTTCGCTGTCTACCTGGTGGTCAAGGTTACAGCAGCAACAGCTGATGCTGCTTCCAGAAAAACATGGGGTGGTGTGGAACAGCCCCAGAGCCCCAGGCCCACCCTCCCCCCTCTCCCCAAGTTACTTGGTGCTGTTTTAAAAAGTCTGGGTGTCACGAAGCAGTCTCTTCCCCCCAACAACAGAGTAAAAGCTCCACAGATTTCGCTGTCTACCTGGTGGTCAAGGTTACAGCAGCAACAGCTGATGCTGCTTCCAGAAAAACATGGGGTGGTGTGACAGACAGGACTTTAGGATTGCTTCAGTCGCTTACGTGGGGGTCCCAGAAAGGGACACTGTGCAGAGGCCAAAGAGCGGTATGCCTCAGCCACCAAATGGGGATGCGATACTACCATAGACTTCCAGCCTGATGTCTCCATGACGTCAGAAGCATGACTAGAAATAAGAGAATAAATACGAAGTTATCAACCGGAGATAAAAAGGATTAACTAAATAGAGTCTTTCCACATGCCCGAGAAACCTGACATTTTTAGTGTACTGTTTTAGGATCACTCTGGATGTATGTTAGATATCTGTTGTGAAGATTGCAAGCTTTGGCTCTGCTGGCACAATTGTATGCTGTACAGGCCTTCAACTTAAGGATAAAAAGCTCAAACAAACATGATCCCAGGTGGAGGACAGCAGGAACACAATGCTCATCTACCCTGACTACTCAGCACAGAAGTATTTTAAATCAACATAGAAAGTACTGAGAAAAACTGTATTAACTGACAAATAGGACTAAAAATGTGTCCAGACATCAAAGTAGTTGGTAGTCACTTTACATCTACTGAAAGGTCTGTTGTATTAGGAGCTGCAAATAGTCCCTCAATACCAGGGACTACCTGATACTCCACCACCTAAAAGTTCTTGTGATCTTAGGAAGACATCCATAATAGCTCACAGAGACAGTCCTGCTGTACACTGAACAGTCCCAGCAGGACAAGACTAATCTGCCCCAGGGCAATGCCACTTCTGGGATGCCAGATAAATGAAGGATCACAATGGGAGAACTAAAAAAAAAATAATAGAGGAGAATCTCCCCTGCATATGACAGTTCACAAGTTGTGAAACCCTATTGCTAATAAACGCCACTTTCCTCTAGATTTGTTGCATCCTGGAACAAAAGTAAACTCACTAGTTAATGAAGTCCACTGCTTGAGTTTTCAGTTGATCAGCACTATGTAGGTCAGCTAGAATGAGGATCTCAGCTGCATTTTCCACAGACAGGTTACTGCACAGTGCATCCTCACACATCACCTTCAGACGTTCCAGAGCATACTGCAAAATACAAGCCAAAGTACAGTTACAAAGAAGAAAACACCTTATCAGGCCTGATGTGAAGCCTTACTTGTGCTCCTTCACTCTTCAGTAACAAACTACTCTATTACGCTGAACAGACCTCTCTGCTTTGCTATATGCATCTGAACTGTACTCAAAGAAGTGACAGCAAAACCAAAGGAGAATCATGATGTGCCCACCCTGAGGAAAGCAATGGAGAGGAAACATACCCACCATAACTCTCATCCCGGCCTTCTTGTGTTACAGGCTTACTGGTGCTGTGTTCATGCTTTGAAATGAGAATTTCAGGTCACCCGTAATACTTACTATCTCAGTTACTTCAAGGCACAGAATGCTAAAGCCGTGTTCTCATTCTATTACTGCATGACAGTATTACCCGGGTTCAGTGGGAAGACCTATCTAACAGTGAATGCTCCATAGGTGTTCCAGTGATGTTTAGGCAGTTTTCACTCAATTTCTTTGCCATCAATGACCTGCACATTAAGATCAGCCTTGCTCAAGTACATGCTACTAGTTAAATACTACAATGTTAACCAAATGCCCCTGATTTCTTGCGGCTATCCAGCTGGAAACGAAACATCACAGCATGTCTGTAATGCCCTAGCAAAAGCTCTATTCTAACTTCACATTCTCAACCTAAGAGTTTCTACCATTCAATTGTGCATTTGCCTCAACATTTTTTAGACCCACAGCGTTGGGCCATGTCAATAGTTTGCAAAATTCAAAGGATATGCTTAGAAGAAGAGTGCCGTCTAATAAATTTCACATTCTATTTTCTGCAGCACTTCAGTCAGTATTGAAACATGCAGACACAGCCAAGATTTTCAAAAGCAACACAGTGGTCTTGGGCAGACTTCAAAAAGGTCAAGACTCACAAAACTGTAAGCCACTCGTTATCAAGAAATGAAACTCAAACCCCAAACCTCAGTCTGTTAGAATATCACAGCTGGGAACTGTGAGACCGAGATACTTCTGAAAATCTTGGTATGTGTGATCTGACTATAGGGTTTGTGGCTCTTTGGATGAAACAAACTGAGTATTTCTGAATGGTTCTGAATATTCTAGGTCCCATGATTACATTTCACAGGGATTAATAGAGTAGTCAATTCTAATGCAGTTCTTATGTGAGTAATAACATTAGCACTACATAAATGGTCCTAAAGATTAAACACAGTTAAGTCGTCTTCACGTTATGACTTCAAATTGAGTGACGCTTTAAAAAAAAAAATAAAAAAAATCTTCAAGATTTTTTTAATCTGAAGATAACTTCATTTGAGAGTATCCTTCATATTGCTTATAAGGCCTTTTTGGACAACTTAAGAGATGACATGGTATACAAGTTCTTCAGTATGTGAGGCCACATTCAGAAAAGATACCAGATTTGTAAGGACTGCTCTGTCAACCTGAACATAGAGCTGGCAACAAGCTCATTTGCATGACGGGAGCGCCTGCCATATGATAAGCGCTGTTACTATAAATCGATTTTATATTCTGGTTGAGATTTTCATCCCATTATGATTAAATTTAAATGAATAATTTTAGATTATAAAAACATTTTTTCACTTAAGACTCGGTGATAATAATTACTTCAATTGAGGCATGGCACTCATAACCAGGACAGTTTTCTCCCACCAGAACATCTGAGAAGGCAAATCAAATTTACTTGCTTAATCTGTATCAATAACTACAACAGTTTCAAATGAGGGGCAAGCCATTAGTTTATATTATTGTCTGTCAGTAGCTTAAAATGCAGCAAACGAAGCTTAAAATTATTCCTTCTGTAAATTGAATATTCTCCTCCACGCATGTACAATTTTTATTTCGATTTTCACTACAAATAGCTCAGCTTCTAATTACATAGTTGGGCAAAAGTAGCCATTCTGGTCTCTCAGGTACCAAGATTTCCCCTTCCCCCCTTTCTTAATTACACTTAAAAAACCCACCCTACCTAATAGCATACTTACCCAAGAGGCTGAAATAGTATCTCCTGGGTTGAGAAGACGTGCTTTGTTTTGGTTTTGGTCTAATTACATATTTTCCCCAAGAGACAGGAGGAACTCAGAAGAAGCTGTTTCAGTCTCTTGAGTAAATATTAGATGTTTTATGTGCTTTCATGAAAGATTTTTTATTTCTGCTTTTAAAAGACACACAATGAGTTTAAATGGAAAAAAACCTACATTAAAAGCCAGGAAACTCAAAGTTAAAGCCTACTCTGTCCTTAATGTGCTGCTTCTTACTTACACTTGTCTCAGTTAAAGATGGTATGTGAGCTCTCAATCAATACTCTTTAAATATTGAATAAAATATGTGGCAATGATTATCGTCAGGCCAAGAATCTCCTTGCATTATTTCCCATTTTAATTCTAGTTGCAGTGGCCTAATAATGGCATATGGAGCATTTCACCTCTAAAAATCAGCATTTTCGATGAAGCCCAGGTCCGCAGTGACAGGGAATTTGATGGCCGTGTGGTGGTTGCGTGGAACAAGGTTACATGCATCCACATCTTAAAATCCACCACCCTAACTGGCACCCACAAGAGAATCCAAGGACTGAAGAAGCATGGAGACTGAACTACGCTCTCACCCCTAGAGGTGGTCCCTCCAGGTCAGAGTTGAGGCACATTGGCAGGGCAGTGTGGAGAATCTTGCACTGCTGCTACCCGTGCTGAACCTGTTCGATGGATAAATTCAGGACTTTAGTCTCCAGTGCTGTCAAACTGGCATCTTTCACCAGCACTAAGTTCACTTTTAAGAGAAAAAAGAAAAAGGAAATAAAATTTTGGTTATATATTACGAATTTTCACTGGTTAATACGGCTCACTAGCCAGCAGAGCACTCTCTTCTGTCCTTGGTGCTGCAAAGGGAAGGAGGCAGTGGCTGTCTGGCTGCCAAGGCCACCGCGCTGCGCCTGCTACACGGGGACTACCAGCAGCCTTCCAGTCAGACCATCCCCGACACCTCCCTGGCAAGGACCCTGCAAAACCACAGATGGGTTAGGCAATAGGGCTTCCTCCAGTGCACCCCTTCTCTCCATAAACAGCAGGGACTGCCACTGCAAAAAGAAAATAAACAACAGGACCTTCCCACTCTTGGCTATCCATCACTTTAGAGCATCTCTTGAAGCTGCTGATACCAGACCAGAAGGAGAAGCAGGCCCTGTTTGCCATGACAGAACACTACTTTTGAGATTTGGTAATAATAACACTAAAAAAATATCACCAGGTCCACCTTGAAATTTTCTTCTCACCCCCAGGTCTTATGCTAGATTATGCTGAATAGAGATGTCCTCTGAAATTTTAAGAAAATGCTTAAAAATGAGCAGTAGAGACAGAAATTCCTGATTGTTATATGTTAAGATATGTATCTATACAGCTCTAGGTATCTTATATGTATATCCTATCTTACAGGTATCTTATATCACATCCAGGTTTACCTATAAGCCACAACCAATTCAAAGAAACTGCCCAACCACAACGATCACATGGAAAGCTTACGGCAGCAATCTCCAAGGAGCATTGTTTAAAGCAAGGCGCATGTCATTCCTGGTTCTCTGAACACCCATAAATCCCAACTGTACCTTGTCAGCAGCTGCCAGCAAGTCATCAGCCATTTTGTCAAGATTTGGTGCCTTCCCCGTGTAAATAAAGCACATCATTTCCTTAAAAACTTCAGGCTCCACATCATTGATTTCAACCCGATTCTGTATCAGAAAAATGAAGCTTATTAAGATCCTCACAAGAGGCTAAAGGCTTCCTTCTACCCAAGCTCTTTCAGTATTCAGAAATTGGCTACAGAGACAAACTATTTAGAATGTGTACTACTTGGAAAAAAGAAAAAAAAATAAAAAAGGAAAAGATATGGATGGAGTAAGAGAAACTCTAAGTTGTATTTCACATTCTCTACTTTTCCCTATCCCACCCCAGACTCTTTCCCCAAGAGTAACAAAGGTAACAATTGCCTCCTTGATCCCTTTCTTCCTCCCTTCAGGACAGCTGAAGCAGAGACCTGCATCTAATGTGAGAAAAACAGTTAAAAGGTGACAATAGTCACAAACACTACCTAAGAAAGTTATCTGACCAGTGATGCTAAGAGTTGACTAGAGAGCTATTCACCTAGCCGGAGAAGTTCTCCTTCCTTCAGGAACTTACCTTTTTACTCTCTTCCATCTCATGCTCAAACATGGCGCTGAAAACTGGGGAACGTGCTACGGCAGTGGGGAAAATAAAACATAGTTAGACATGGTCTTTTACTCTTCAGAAGGAGCTAAGCGTAGCCTGCCAACACCTCAACAACTGTCCTGCTACTTAATGCAGGAAAAATTCTCCTATAGCAGATAGGGCAAACTGGGTACAACTGATAAAGGAGTACAGGTTGTGACATAACGGAATGTAGCCGATGTAGCTTCAAACTGGGTATGGGAGAATTTCTTATGTCCTTTCGACCAAGGCTGAAGAGTACATGGGTGGTAAGGTATGTTTCTTGACTTTACAAGAAAGTATTCATCTGGAAATGTGGTAACTTCTCCTTACAAATGCTTTAGGAATACACTGTAGGTACACTACAGCCACAAAAGAATCCTCCTACCATCCTCGCCATGGCAGGAGGTAGGCAATTACAAACAGAGCAGGTATTTCCTCTCCCTGTAACAGTTCACAAAACGGTCTTTTACTACAGCTCTGCAGTTAAAAGCGCTGCAGAAGCCTCCTTTAAAGATGAAGTAACTCAAAAAAAACCCACTTGTTTTGCCATCATGTTGTTGTCTCCTATCCCGCTAAGGCCCATCCAACTCAATACCGACCTGCTAGTATGGCTTTGTGAGCCTGGAACTCCTGGCCTGCAACGCACAGACAGCAGTCCGTGAAGCGTGAATTCTCCCAGAGTCCTCCCAACTCATCTGCCAAGCGGCACTCTGGTACCTTCACCATGTTCATAGTGTTCTGGCCGGAGATATTGACAGAGTCCTGTACCACACTCACCTGGAGGGGAAAAGAAAGCAAACTCAAAACTCAGTAACCCACGCTGGAAAACAAGTCTCCCTACAGGAAGTTTTTATTTCCAGGGCAAGTGAAGGGAAATGCAAAGCAAAACCCACACCTCTCAAGCAGAATCACTGTATGATTAAAAATGTAGACATTTTTAAGGCTTCCTTTCTACCCTGCCTTAACCCTGTTCTCTGCTCCTCCAGCATGTCTATCCCAAGTCCTAAATCATACCAGCAGGTTTTCTTCTTGACCCCAAATTAACAGCACTTCTATGCAATTCAATCACAACTTTATTAGATGGTTTCTTAAGGAAGTGGAACCTTATTTTTCTGCTTTTACAGACATCATACCTGACCTAGTTTTTTTTCCTTCTATCAACACTCTGAAACCCTCCCCAATCAATAATGCAATACAGACAGCAGTACGTATGAAAATGAGGTATACAGAGAGCTTCTATAACTGAGCACTGAATCCACACATGTATGCGCAACGGCAGTGTCTGACCTCCCAAAAGTCTTGCTGCTTCTGGTTCTAAATTTCTTAGAGAGTTCAACGCTTCCATCACATTACAAAATAAAATGAAAAAACCCCCCCTAAACAGTAAGTTTAAAAAAGCAGCTTTATGTCAAGTAATTAGGAAGATTTGGGGAAGGCAGATAGATTCCTTATCACCTGCTTTAAAGCATACACGGTTAGGCAGGGACCGTAAGTAGCCATACTGGCTGATGAATAACCTACACAAAGGGAACCGTTAAGAGCCTATTCAGCACCAAACCATTACTGTTAAACACACGCAGTAAATCATACGCCTTCTACAGCAGACTCCAATTAGAAAAGATCAGAGTGACTAATACTACCCCGCTATAGCTATAATGAAGAATAAAGGAAGAAGCTGATTGACAGGGAAGCGTACGTGAGACTATTTCCTGGGTTTGCTGTCAAGTCCAAGTTAAATTTCAGTTCTATTAATAACCAATGGCCAAAGAAGAACAATGGACAGCAAAGGAAGCTTCACAGTTATGTAAAAGGAGAAGTAAATTATGAAGTGAGAGAGATGACAGAAGCATCTTCTAAGGAAAAAACCTGCTGACAGCACATACCCCAACTCTTGAGAAACCTCCAGTGGGTTTCTGATGGCAGACACATCTTGTATAAATTATACAACACTCAAACCCAAACAAATATCAGATGCTGCTTGCCAAAGGACACCAATGATTAGCCAGAGCAAACGTGAGGAAGCTAATATTCTTCGTCATTAATTTGACAGGTACATCACCTTTTTGCCCTGTGACATCTAGACCAGCAACATGGACTCAAGGATGGATGAAAACTCATCAGATTCATTAAAAAGGAATTCTAAGACGTAGATCCCTTGCTGGAATCCAATACTGATTACAGACCAGCCAAAAAAGACTTGCGAACTGTGTCTCAAATCAACAAATAAATCCTCTTCATATATGAAAGTCAGTCAGTTACTGGCATGAAAATCTATTACATGGCTTTTTACATAAGGAGTTTAGACTGGTAGATTCCAAGCGGTGACCGGCCTTAGAGGTTAAAATAGCTAAGGTTTTGCTTAAGCTATTTTCAACATCTTAGCAAGGGAACCAATGCTACCTAGCTTAGAAGAGAGCTATTACCATAACTTTGGGAACGCCGTTCTTTTTGGAGATTTACCAGAATGATATTTACTTATGATGTTGGAATATAATTTAAACAGCAAAAAGTAATGCAGTTGGGATATGAACAATCAACCCCACCTGCAAAACAGAGGTTGAAAAATCCCCAAACTGACAACTAAATGAGGTCGGATTTGAAATGCTTGACAAGGAACATCATTCTCTGCCTTAACAGCATTTTCAGCAAGATCTGTGTTCAGCACCGGACATGAGCAGAGAACAGAAGACTTTTTCCTTTTAACTTTAATAAAGCAATGAGAAGGTGCAGCAGAGACACTCAGCAGCCTTCTGGTCTACAGAAAACTCCAACATATCCTCACATAACAAGCATCTCAACATCCAGTATTGCTAACTCCTTAGAGAGTTTCTACATACAAAACATGCTTGCTAAAAGTACAGATGTGAGCAGCATCACTTGGCACCTGTGGCCAGCAGGGAAGCATTAGGAGAGCATATGGCACACCGGTTTACATGTTAAGAGACTTACTTACAAGCTCAGGGAAGAAAAAGGAAAAAAAAAAAAGAAAAGGAGGAGGGGGAAAAAAACAAACCCAAGCTGTTGAAAGTTCTTGCCAAACTGTTTCCAGACAGCAAAACCTTCCCCTCTGATACCACTAAACTTAAGATTTCTTACATGCTAGACTGTAGAACAAACTGAAAGAGAAAACAAGATATCAAGGCCAGGTGAAGCCAGCAGCAAGTTTCCTTTTCATCCAGAACAAACAAAAACACGGAGCTGAAGCTTTTGAAGGGAGCAGTTCAGTAAAGAGTGGAGTGACTTGAATTAGTACTAGTTGCCAAGACTACTGGTGGATCTCAGGTTTATCTACATCGCACCTCGCAAATTCCCTTCTCAGACATTAATTTTTGAGTTTCACTCCACAATTGTAAGTTTTCTGGCTCTTATCATGAAGGAAAGAGTAATTGCCAGACCTACAGAGGTGTCATCCAAGACACTGTCCTCTCCTCCTCCCATATTGCTATAAGTGTTAAAGGAAGGGCTCCCTCCACGACAGTAATAATTTATGCTACTGATTTAATACACATCCTTTAGGAGATGTTTGTTAATTTAAGTATGTGCATGCTTATGATGGCCAAATGAAACTGAACCCCCCCCCCAAACAAAAAACCAACCCAAACCCCAGCTGTCGAACAACTTTGAAGCATTTCTTTCACTCCTGAAAGAAAACACAGCAAAAGAAAAGACTCCCATAAAAACCACTGCAGGAGATCCAAAGAGAGAACAACTTGTTCTACCCGTCTTCTGGCAAAAATCACAGCTACAGGAGGTATTTTGCAGTTAAAAAGACAAGGGAAACAAGACAGCAGAAGCTCCGAAGACACTAAATTAGGGAGTTTAAGTTTGCTCATTAAGGTTTCTAAACTTAAATATCTAGTTTTAGAAATAACTGTCTGCATCTTTGTCTGGAAATAGTATTAGTGAAATAATAATTTTGTAAGCAGTTGTAGAAAAATACAAACACAATGAACAGAAAATTGTGGTCACTGTAAAATTCTTTTTTCTTAAGTTCTTTTAAATTTTTTTCTTTTTGTTGGCTGTACAGACATACTTAGGAAAATAAAGAAAACTCTTCTTTATTCAGTAGGCAAGTAATAGGTGGGCCAGTTTCCACTACAGAGCTAGTGTTGGTTATTATCCCAAGTGAGTTTCAAATTAAGGAGTACAAACAGATGGATGATAACACTAAACCAGAAGTGAAATGATAATCAAACATGCTTAATTCCTATCATCATCACACGTAAAAGGCAAATATAAAGTAACAAAAAATAAATGGAAGTGAAATGTGATGAATCACACAGAGAAAAAGCCACCAGCCGCATGCGCTCACACACACACACAAATAAAATCTAAGTGCCATATAAACATCCAGTATTTCTCCCGATACCCCCGACTCCTTAAAAGCAATGATGAAAAATAAGGTCACATCTACCTTAAGCTAATGGAACTGCTATTCTTTCAGCTGCACAGAAAGACTTACCTCACAGAAGAGAGTGAGTTTGTCATCTGGAAGAAGTCCATTGGCTTCATCCAAAAGAAAGTCTCTCCTAATAAATTTTTTGAATCCCCAGTCCTTGCCTTGTACAAATCGATATGCTCGCTGGCTCTCTGAAAGGAAGATATGGTGCTTTAAACATCAGCTGAGTGACTCGCTTGATCAAACAGCAAAAGACAAACAACTGACCCCATCAGACAGAAAGAGTTTTTACACACCCATTGCTTTTGTTTCTTCTCCTTTAGCATTCAGGATGGAGAATTTGAACTTTGCTCGAACTTCACTTTTTGGACAGCTCACCAGCAACAGATAGAGGGATAGATAATCTTTACTTTCTTCATCCAAGCCTTTAGGGTTCACACGTAAACACCTGTAGAAGCAGGCATCTGAATGAGATGTCAGGAACAGTTTTTGGCAGGTCATTCATAGCTTTCAAAGAAAGGGCATTGTGGAATTTTCACAATAAAATGTACAGCAAACAAGTTCTGTTTAACAGCCACTGAACCGCAAAGAAATAACAGATAGGTAAATAGAGTGGAACTGCATGTTACAGTCAGGCTCATGCTACATCTCCAAGACAAAAAATAGTATAAAGGCAGTAACTATGGGCAAACCAATTAAAAAAAAAACATGGGGGAAAAGAGGAGGGGGGGTATGGTTTAAATTACTGAAAAGCACCCTGGATGTCAAGTTTCACAAAAGGAAAGTGAAAGAAATAGTAGAATGGAGGCAATGGATTCGAGGAAGTGCAACAAATCCAGAAAAACGGTAGGTAAAATTCCACAGGAAGCAACTGAAAGGAAAAATGGATTTCTGGAAGGCTGGTAGTTTCTCAAAAACATAATACTAGGGCAAAAAGAGAAGAAAACTCCTGTGTGAAGAAAAGGTAGTAAGTGCAGGAAGAGGCTAACTCATAAGCACTTCCATGACATGAAACTTGACGCAGAACCTAACAAGAAGCAAAAACTAGGCCAAATGACTAACAGCTCAAACACACAAGGACAAAAAAAAAAAATCAGAAAGATCTAGACATTAGAACGAGGTCTGACTAGCAAAGGTTATAAAGGTAAGTAATTTAATAACAAAAAGCAGTCCAAGGAAAGCACAGGTCTGCCACCCAAAGGAAGGGAACACAAATTGTAACACACACACACACACAAAATTATTTAGTGGCAATTTGCTGCAATCTACACTAAGGAGGTTTAGAGAAAAATGCTAAAACACTTAACATCACCAACACAGGATAAAATAATGAACCAGGTGTCCATGTATCTACTAGATCAGACACGACTCACAGTAGATACACATTCTGACCAAAGCCCACTCTGAGTTACTGGAAATTACTTGAGAACTCAGGGAAGAAAAGAAAGGTTTTAAAGGGAAGGAAAAGGGTAAAAATAATGTCATTTTTAAGAAGCAGAAACTCCTGGGCAGAAGGAGTTATAGAACACGGAGATGATCGAAGTAACAATGTTAAGTCTCTGAATGCACAAAAAGCTGCCATAAAGAGAAAGGTAATACAGTAGCAATAGTCTTAAATTGCAGGATTTAGAGTGCAGGCAAAAATTATCTTTTTAACAACATGGAGTATTAGGAACTGAAACTGGGAGGCTGAAGTAGAGCTTGAATACACTGGCTGTGGACTCTCATTGGCTTATAAGAACTTGTTAAGATAAACATCAGTCAAAAAAACCCAACTTAAGACATTAATAATCCTCCATGGCACGCCTCTGCTTCAAGGCAGGACGTAGTCTCTCTTCCAGCTATGGCTTCTATTACTTCTGATGTTTTCCATTATCAGAGAAACACTGCAAACAGCCAGATCCTCACGTTTGCTTTGTGTGTCCAAACACTATGCTGAAGCAACAGTACTTTCTCCCTGTGCATATGTTGTACATCCAAGGAAGCAAGAACCCGTGTGCAGTACAAGTATTTTTTTAATATACTTCCTCTGTTATAGAAGCCCAAATTCTTTCGCACAGTTGTACAAACAGGGTGAACCTCTCTGCTCTATTTCTTACCATTTGAGTTTATCATTGGCTCCAGATGAAAAGGTTGAGCTTTTGATGACCTCACCCATTTCTTCTCGGCAGAAGCTGAAATTGTTTATGGTCCACATGTAGGAAAACTTCACCACCTTGATCTTAAAACAGAGGATAATAGGCAGTTTAGGGTCATGCCCATCCACCCTGGCCACCTCAAAGGCAAAAACTGAAAACCTGGAAGTTTTACTGAGTCACTTGTGTGACAAATAACCCCCAAGCACAAGACAACAGAGTCTGGAAATGGCTGGCAGTGGCAGCTGGACCACTCCAACTTCTCCAACTGCCTCCTCCAAAGTTCTGCCAAGGGCAGAGGGCAACATTCTGCTGTTGCCTTGGTGAATGCTCACTGTTAGCAAGCATGACATTGCCTGAAAATCCAGACTCTAAACTTGTTTTGAATAAATTTCTTACCACAGGTTCTAATCGCGTTACATCAAGAATACCTCCGCACAGTGTGGACTTACCTGAGTGTAGCACCAGCTCTCTGCTACAGGTCCACTCGACATTTCTGCCGGAGGAGGAGGACTCGGCACCCTTGACATCGCCAGTTTGAAGATTAAACAGAATTTCACAACTCAGTAGAAGAAATTTATAATTGATCTTCACCCTGTCAGTCCCCAAAAAGAGAAAAAAACCAAAACTAAGAACAAAGAAAAAAACTTCAGGAGTGCTGTTAAATCTCATGGGACAAAAGTTAAAGCCATCATGCCTTCTCCCTCCCCCCCTAGCACCTTCAAAATACGATGTTACATTTAAACATTTTAAAGTGTTACCATATGTTTTCTGAAGAGGGGATATACCACCTCCACTCATTCTTTCAATATGCAGCTCCTTATAGGAATAAGCCTAGCATATCATTTCCTTTAAAGAGTCCAAGACTCAAACAGGAGACTCCCCACTTGACTTAGGATTTACTACTTTACCCTGAGGCCACCATTTCAACTCACTACTTAACTCCCTATTTTCATTTTGAGTCTCAGACTATCAGAGATCAGATTTGACAAATGAAGTTCTTAATCTGAAAAAGCTACAGGTAGCAACACGCAACCCAAACTCAACAGCAAAATGAAACCCTAGGTTCAGAGTGACTCCGGTAACATCAACAGAATAATTTCCTATAGTTTAAACCTTCTCCTGAAGCCTTACTATTAGGGAAGGTGTTGGTAATGATTTCTCTACTTCAAACTGAATCCCTTTGGCCAGAGGGAAATTCTCATTGTCTTTATATGCTAGTGAAGTTCCCAACTTCTAAGTGCCGAGTCAAATTGTCATCTGCAGAGAACATATGGGGTTAAAACCATGGCTACACACCTGAATGAATACACAGGCACAACTGATAAAACAGGCATCTAGTTACCAGAAGGGAGGTTTTAAAACGAAATAGAATAATCAACCCATCTCTGACTTCTGAGTCCTGATCCCTAAGGCAGATACACAAAACGTCTTCAAAGATGAGCTCGGAAACTAGGATTCGTAACTTTGGCAGATATAAAAGCATCACATGCCTTACAGTTTAGCCTTCTGCTAAACACTTTCTGTTTCGCAGGTGGTATTTATCTGCCTTCCTCTTACTGCACAGGAGAGCCAGTGAACCACAAGAACTCCATTGCTGTTAGTTTTGTCCTCAAAAGGATAAAAAAAAAAAAGGGTGAGTAAAAGACATAAAATTGTTATCTTGTGATACAAATTGCTTTAAATACAAAGGTTGATATTGAGGTTCGTTGGGGCAGAAAGGTAAAGCACAGGCTCACGCTCTTGAGGAAGGCCGAGTCATTAGCTGTTGAAAGGAAATGGTGGAAAGCATAGAGAATATATACCTAAAAACCCCACACCTCAAAACAACAGGAGAATATTCACAGTAAGAACATAAACATACATGCACATAATTCCCCCCAAACTGCTGTCAACATAATTTGGAGTCTTTAAGTGCAGTTGCAGGGCAGGTCTGGATTTGAGTGCAGGCTCCAGCTGCAGACCAGACCTTTCCCAAGCAAGGCTTGCATCAACCTCCACTCCAGTTTATGGCTGCGTACGTGGGTTTTGAGTTCTATGCACCTTCAGAAAGTACCTGGAAATACTGGTACACAGGCATCATCTAATAGTAAAACAAGAGTGGGGTTTTCTTCAGGTTTAATTTCCTTTAGAAAAGCACAAGTGAGCCCATGTAAACACTGGGGGGGAAAAAAAAAAAAGAGATACTGGCTATCAGGAGCTAAGAAGTAAGTATTTAACCCTGCAGAGACACACATTTAACTCGATGGAAATTTATTTCCTGGAGCAAAGCTCAGAGGCAAACAACTAACGCCATAAGATCTGAACTGCAGACAACTCGCACTAATGTAAAAAAAAATAAAAGAAATCAACATTTTAAAAAGAAAGGGACATCAATATGCACTTTAGGTACTTGCTGTAGGTTTTATTACATTAAACTTAAAATTACCACAATTCCTGCAAAGAAATTCAATTAAACCACTCTGTGTCATTCAAATGAAGCCAAAATTAGCAGACACTAGTTTTGAATACTTGGCTAACTGCCCTTCCACGGGCAACATTCAGTCTTGCCTCCGAGGACATCATTGCTTCACTGTCTCCAGTCACAAGTCTTTGAGGGGCAGATAAAACCTGAAATTCCAGCACAAGCAGCAAGAAACACCTCCTCCTCACCACGGCTGGGGAAGGGATGCCTTTTTGCTGGTTGTAGTCTGTGGGGAGGAGAGACCCAAGCTTTTTCCTTCCCCTCGGGGTTCACAGAAGCACTGCTCAACTCCACCCAAGCTGTTACATTGTTCTGTTCACAGCTATTTTTAATCTACATCATTCTAGTGATCTGTTTTATAGCACAGGCACAAACGACAGGGACACAAACTCCTGAGAGGGTAACAAGCAGCCAGGGAAAGGATGAAGTTTCTTAAGCTTACCTCCTCACTGATGGCAACCTGTCTGCACACTGAGCAACAAGATGCTAAGCCTAATGAAAAGGTTTGACCAGAAGAAAACACAACGAATAAATAAAACACAAGAGTGGGATGTGAAATTAGATTTTTTTTGTTGTTAAAATCGTAGTTAGTTTCAGTGATTTTAGTTTTTAACTAACATCTTTTTACTCGAACTACTTGCAACTCGGAAGTATTCAGGTCTCTCAAAATACTTCCTTATGCAGAGTGAGAAATAATGCAACTTTTATTTAAGAAGCATTAGAGGGATGAAGACATAAAAATAACTTAGCTTAAAGTAACTTTTGGATTCTCTGAAACAGCAACACTGTGGCCCTCCATACATCTCCCCGTGTACCTGGCCAAAATGGAGGTGTGAATGAAACCTCAAGCCACAGCAACCTACTCAGTCTTCCTCCTAACAGGGATTTTGGGCACAGCCCATCACTGCGAGACACCCTAAAGCTCCATGTGAAGAATGGCCGGAGACAGCAGTGCAGCAGCAGCGTCCATCAGCATCTTCCCGGCGACTCTGTGAGGCCACAATGCTGTTCTCCTTGCCTGGCTTCAGAATAATTACAAGGAACGGATCCAGAACAGTTCAGGTAAGGAACCAATTTCCACATAAGGTATTTATCAATAATAAGCAGTTTTCTATAAGAAGACTTCTACTTCCTGGTAAACTGGAGCAATTAAATATCTCTACACACACATTAGAGAAGTGGTTTAACACGAAAGGTGATCACACAGTTAGAAGACTCCAGTGGGTCCTTCTTGAAGACAAATTGGTAAATTTAGTGTTAACACCTCCCTTTATGGCATGAAAATGAGGGATTAATGAGGAGGGAAAGAGGAGTCAACAACATCTTTTTATGTTACAATGGCACATTCATCAAGCCTGTTGGAACACACTAAGAGGTTGAAGGGTTTCCTGGACAGAGAGCAGAAGTTAATCCTAAATTCCTGTACCTTTCACAGGTCTCCAAGGAGCAAACTCCAGAAGACTGTAGCCATCAATCATATAATTGGGGAAGGAAATAGATAATCGTGTGATGCAAAAATTAAAGCTTTAACAGCTACTTTCTGTATTTCAACAGGATTTTAAAATGCACCTAAACATTACCTCCATCTTACATATGCAGAGAAGTTTTAGAAAGCTTCTGCGGTCTAAAGGCAAGACAAATGTAGGAGCTTGAGATACACAGGACTATTTAATTTCCTCTGAGTAACTGTCACTTTTATATCTTACATCCTTTCCTCCCAGATGGCTTGGATAGGCAGGTGGTAATAAAAGTTATGACAACGTGCTAATAGAATTGCTGCATGCCAGCGCGTCATTCGTTATGCTTTTAAAATGGCCCAAAGGGACAAAGGTTCTAGATTTTAAAGATTTTCTAGTATTTGGAAAATACTTTCAGTCTAGTATGTCAAAGCTTTCTACAGATGCTTTGCGAGGCAGTTAAATACAGTTAAAAAAAGATGTTAAAATCCAACATACCCCTAGCTCAATACTGTAATCAACCATCAAATACTTGCCATCAAATGACATCACTGGTCCTTTTACTGCTATAGCAAGTCATAATGGGAATAAAAGATAATATCCATCACTGTCTTTTGCAAAAATTACCAGTAAGGAAAAACTTGCTGCTTGCCCTGCTTAGCAAGCACACGAACAGGGGAAGCACATAAAAGGTCACTGAAATATATATCCTTAGAAGCGTGCTGTAGAAAACTGCCATGTGTTCTTCCACCTCCAAATGCTGAAATCGCTCTTCTGGCATGGACCAATGTTAAATGCCTTTTAAAAGGAACCACAGCTGACTTAAGGTAAAATTAAGTTTCTGAAATCAGCAGGGCACCCCCGGCGTTTATTTGCTCGTGAACACTTAATACTTCACCAGTTTGCACTTCTTACTAACAGCGCTGGCACCTCTGAACTAGGAGTAAATTGAAAAGCGCTGCAGGCAGAGGTTTTAGGAAAACATTTTGTAAATAGTTTGGATATCGAAATTCTTTCTGGCCAGGAGAGGCAGGGCCAAACTTGAAGGTACAGGCATAAATATCAAGTCACAGGAAACAAAATACAAAATATTATCTTACAGACCCCTGCGAGCCCATGTACAGCCTGTGGGTCTCTTACTTCCTTGGATATAAATAACAAACAGCACTTGTCTCTGGACAGAGTTAAGATTACAGTTAAGAAAAAGAATAATTCTCACCTCATTCACAACCACTTCCAGATGAAGACATTTTATCTAAGAACCAGAGCCAGATCAGACCTTTTTGAAGCACAGGAAATGTTCCCTTGCCACCTTGTTCTCATAATTACCTCCTGACTTAGCAGCTGTACCGAGACATCTCAGCTCAAAACTTCATCTACTGTAGGAATCAACAGTCAAAACTATTCTGTGAGCATCAGAGACTTGACCTGAGAGAGGTTGGGAATCTCAACTCAACAAATAATTCTAGAAAAGGCCTCAAAATTACTGGACTTTTGCTAAACAGTCTGTCAATTTCTACTTCTTCTCAAGATAAACCAACTGCCTTTTAAGAAAACAGCAGTTTACACCAGAAATTTCCAAGTATATTCGTTTTCAGTAAGTTTTATTCAGCAAAAGATAACTTACAGAAGTCTGTAAAAGAAGTATATTTTTAATTAAGTGTTCCAAAAACC